CCGAGAGACCCAGGCCCCAGGCCCACGGAGGGCGCGGCCCGCCGGAGCGACCCCGGCCCCGGGGGGAGCGGGTTCGAACCTGGGCTCCGGGAAGGGCGGGGGGGGCTCTCGTAGGGCGTCGAGTCACGACCCCGACTGGCCCGGGCGCGTTCGGGGCACCCGCTTGGCGAGTGCCGGTCATTCAACAGGTGCTTTGGTGGGGCGCCCACTGCGCGCCCCCAGCCTCCCGGCGCGCTCTGCCCGCCGTCCCGCTGCCCGGCCGAGACCGCCCGCCGCGCCCCGCCTTTAACCGCGGCGCCCTCCTTTTGTTTAAGAGTATGTGGAGAAGCCCCTGAAGCTGGTCCTCAAAGTGGGAGGTAACGAAGTCACCGAGCTCTCCACCGGCAGCTCGGGGCACGATTCCAGCCTCTTCGAAGACAAGAACGACCATGACAAACACAAGGACAGAAAGCGGAAAAAGAGAAAGAAAGGAGAGAAGCAGGTGCCAGGGGAGGAAAAGGGGAGAAAGCGCAGGCGAGTCAAGGTAAGAGACCTGACGCGGGGCTCCGCCTTTGCTGGTGGCACCCCTTTCTGAGCAGCCCCGCTTCTGAAAGGACCCTGAAATCTGACTTGTTTTGAGGAGGAGCAGGGCAGAGTAGAAATAGGAATCCTCGGGGAATTTCAGCAAAGCTTTGTAATTTTACTCTTAAGACCTCACGCTTAAGGCGAGTGAAGTGCAAAGTTCTCCGATTTTCAAGAGCTGCCTTAGAGTGCTTCTTCCATCTAGGAAGAGAAAAGGTGCTTAAATGGAGAAGGATGAAAAAGAGGGGGGACAGGTGGAAGGAGGGAGCAGTTGGAAGCAGGCATTCACAGCAAAGGTGATCCATTGCATTCCAGTTGGTTCTAAAGTGAATACAGTGGCAAATAGCTAATGAATGAGCTGCTAACGGCTTTTGAAACAAAGCTTGAGTCTATCAAAGAAAAGGTTTGATCAGAGTCCTTTGCGGAGTATGATAACCAGTAATCAGAGTAAGTTTTTTCTTAAGCATTTGCAGCAAACAGAAAACATGATGTGCTAAATAATCATAGTTCATTTCTTTCTGAGAATGATCACCTGTGTGCCTGGAATTCTAGATTTCTGCTGCATGGGAGTTAGCCTGTCATTAAGTGGCTTGTTCTCTCAATCTTGAACATAGATGTCTGCCCATTAGTTTTCTAGTTTGTCTTCTGTATACAGTAGTTCTGTTCCTTGTGCTTTAAATACAGTGGGAAGTCCCAGAATGGTAGAGATTCTCCGTGGAATTTCTTAACCCTTATTCCTTTCTGCCCCAGTTTTTGTAGTCTTTGACTAGACCGTGACAACATGTAGAACTATCTGAGATTTCTCTTTTCCTTCCTCCATTATAAATGCCATGTATGTGTATAATTTTCTTTTAAAGAAATCAAGTGGTTCAGTAGTGGGAAGTGGGAGAGTTTCCCTCGGTCCCTCATAGTCTCCCTGTGCAGCAGTGACTTGTTTTGTTTTGTTTTGAATTATTTCAGTAAATTAATTCATAAATCTAGTTTGAGAAAGTCCACAGTGTTCCCTGACTTTTACCACTAAAGTGACCTCCACCCTGGAATTTTACCTCCCAAACTTAGCTTTTTCTTTGGAGGTTTATCTCCGGTCTCAATGTAGGTTTCTCCACACTTTAATGATCTGTCAGCTTGCGTGTTTTACTGACACTGCAGGAGGCGCTCCCCAGCTTCCTTCCTTTCTCCCACTGTGTACACGTGCACAGCCCGCACCTCAGCCAGCAGTCAGTGTCTGTCCTGGACAGATGTGCTACACAAATACAGGTCTGAATTTGGTTGAGCGCCTAATTGCTTTCATTGCTTGTTTTGCACTGCTTCTCCCCAGGAGTTCCATTTTCACATGGTCAAATATTCTTTCTGAGACTTCTGCTTGTAGCCCCTTCTCATGCTCTGGTGCCTTCCTCCCTGTTCTGGTGCCATACTAACTAACGAGGAACTTCCCAAGAAGGCGTTCCTCAGAGGAATATTTTTGCAAGTGTTTCATGTTTGAAAAACTTTTAATTCTGCCCTGGTTTAAGTATGTAATTAGATAAAAAGAGATTTTCTCCCAGCATTTTTAAAGCTTTGTTCTGTTGTTCTTTGGCTTCCAGATGTGCTGTTGAGAAATTTGTTGCCATTCTGATGCTTACTCCATTGTTCATAAGTAATGTTTGCCCTCTTGATTTTTTTAGACTCTTCCCGCTCTGTCTTCCCTGCACTGTATCACAGCGAGTGCTTGCGCCTTGAGCTCTAAGATGTGTGCCTGAAGCATTTCTGATAGAACATTCCCTGCACTACCTCTTTTCTCTGGAGCCCCTGCCTTTCGGCGTTTGGAGAACTGGTCTTCTAAATTGCTTGGGTTTTCTCTCCTCTTTTCCTTCTCTTTGTTTTCTTGCAGTCTTCTTTCAAGGAGAGTTCTTCTGACTCTGCAGTGGAGTTTTAATTTTCGTTCTTATATTTTGAGTTTCCAAGAACTCTTTGTTGTGCTCTAAGTCCTGCCCTTCTTTTCTGCATGCAATGTCTTATTTCTCTGAGACTATTGATTGAAGTTTTTTTGCTGTCTTTAAAGTTTTCTTTGTTGCCTGCATTGTCTGTTTCCCCTCAGTTCTTCAATTTGTTTGATTTCCTTTGCTAAAAGCATCCTTTAGTTGTCTGTTAAAGCTTTGTAGTCTGCTTGTATTTAAACATGCAGCAAAAAAAAATTTAGAACTAGATTAAATGCTTTGTGCCTAGACAGAGTTTATCTTCATGTGGAGTCACTAAGAGAGACTTGGTTATTTTGTTGGGAATCCCCCCTCAAAATCTCTGTGCTGCAGGTATTTCTCTGGGCTTTTCAGTTTCTCCAAAGGAAAATCCTCTCCTCCTGAGAAGGCTTAACATGGATGACAGTATTTCAGGATCCAGCAGGGGAAGGAGGCTGGAGGTCTCAGTCCTCTGCCTTCAGGCAGCATCTCTCCCCACTCTGGCTAGTGTCCAGGTCCGGAGACTCTTGTGTCCGCAAGTTCTAAGCTTTTCAGGATTCTAGGGCTTGAACTTCTCTCATAGGTGTTCACCTCTTTGCTTGCAGGAGGTATCCTGCTTTCTCAGTTCTGCAGACTCTCCCTCTTCCATATCCCAAGTGTATTGACATCTCTTGTTCACAGTGGTGTCTTCTGCGCCATTTGTCCCTGCCCTCGTCTCCTTTATCTAGACATTGCACTAACCCCTTCTAAACTATTTCTGGTTTTCATTATGGCAGTTAGCACTGTAGTGCAGCCTTTATATTCGTATACTTAATCTCTTATTTTATCAGTTCTTTTACTGACTGCACTGTATTTGGTTATGTTGATTACCATGTTTGATTTCATATAATATTACAGTTTTAAAAGATTTATTTATACATACAGAACTGGGGTACAGGCTAGAAATGCAGGGGCAGTGAGGGGCTTCACCAGAGACAGAGTGGGGAAGCAGAATAGACAGATCAACAAAGTCCACTGCTGAGGGGAGCAGCAGGTGGGTCAGGAGAGGTCTGCCATGCCCTGTGGTCACCTCTGGAGTCAAGGATTGAACTCATGCTGAAATGGCTACGGCTGGCTTGTAGTGCTGCACTTTAACCAGCGGCGCCACCAGGGAGGGCCTATTTCATATAATATATTTTTAAGTCACAAATTCCTCACCATATGTACACCTTTGCACACTTTTATAAATAAGACTTCAGGGAGGGTAGGTTCCTGAAAGTCCTCCCTTGTCCCAGTCATTCTGTCCTTTCTTGACTCTGCCTATAAATAGTGTTAGCCACCAGTATATTTTGATGCTATTGCAAATTAAGATGCTTTTGCATCTGTGGTCTCATTTGGACACAATACCCTGCAGTAAGACAGGCTGAGGTGGTTTCCATTTTACAAGAGTTAAAGTAGAAACTCGAGAAGTAGAGAGAGTTTGTCTAGGATCCTGCTTCTCTAGGGGTAGGTTTAGAGGCCTAGGGACATTTTAGATTCCCTGGGGTCTTGTCATTTGTTCCCTAGAGGCTGTTTGAATCATCCTTTGTTTCTGGCCAGATGGAGGATGGAAAAGGGATGGTAGAGTGGGGAGGGTTTTCTTTTGCAGGTCCTTGTCTAGGGAGGGCAGCTTGAGAAGCAGTTGCTGTGAAGGTCTCTTCTTGGGAAAAGTCAACTGCATGGCAACTGTGGGCCTAGGAAGGGCTAGGATGTATGTGGCCCTGAGAACTCCACCATATCCATGCGGCAGGAAGGAGGAAGGTGGAAGAAAAGGTTAGAATTGCTCTCCCTCTTACTAAGACTGAATTATACTGCATTGTGTGCATCCAACAAAACCACATTTTGTTTATCCATTAGTCCATTAATGGACATTTAATTTGTTTCTGCTTTTTGATAGAAGCATTAAATAATACTGCTATGAACATGGATGTACGAATATCTCTTCAGGAAACACCTTTCAGTTCCTTTGAATATCTATCTAAAAATAGAATTTCTGGATCATACTGTCTTTTTGATATAGATGAGAAAACTAAGGTTAAGTGACTTGCACAAGATCACACAGTCAGTGCCAGAACAAGAATTCATTTGCTACTCTTAAGAGGCCTTAAAATCTGAAAAAATGTTCAAATGGGCATCTTTCTCACAGTACACAGAAGAATAAAATCAGTCCCCTAACAGGTAGCATTCTAGTTCTGAGGCTCCAGATTGCTTGGAGGTAGGGGGCAATCACAGAAGACGTTGCTCAAGAAGTATTATTACCAGTGGCCTTTCAGAATACATGTTCAGTCAACATGATACCCCTGTATGCTCTGGACTACCCCTGCAGCACAGTGGGAATAGTTTCCTGGCACAATAAATTTGCATTTTAATATAAAAGGTCATGTGTGAAGTTGTGGGTATTATACTTTATAGACTAAGCTATTTTCAAAGGTGATCTGGCAACTCAATTTTTATTTACATGCGGACTTGACAAACAGCCCAGAGTAGAATATAACATCCTTGCATAGAGATTTGGAGGGAGGAAGTACACATACAACAGAGGATTAAGAACAATAGCATGAAGGTGGGCAAGTATGAGGGTGTTTGGAGATAGTCACAAAATACATAAAAGGGGAGTATAGGGTTAGCTCTCAAAGGCAGCGGTCAAAATAGGAAGTTGAAACTTGAGTATGTGGATGGAGTCAGAAACTTTCTGAGGGAAAAGATAATAGACTTTGTGCATCGGTTATATTAATCTGTTGCAGTACCTAACAGATATTGGAGGGCAGAGTCCTGGTGTAAGACCTACTTGGAGGGCTTTTCACTAACATAGCTCAAATGAGAGGTCTTAATTCCTGTATTGAAATTCAAACCTGTACTTCTAAAAAGCATAACCTATCTCAGGTTCTTTAACAGCTTTGCAAGTCAACTTCAGGTTTAGATGCTCATAGACATAGTCCCAGCACTTAGGGATATTATGAGAATATAGTAAAGTGGTCATTGAAAAAAAAGTTTTTAATAAAAAGCATTA